GCTTCCGCCTCAACATCCTCGATATCGTGTTTTATTTCAGGCAAGTGCAAATGACTTTTCAGGTTCTTCTGCTTCTCTTCAATACTTAACCAAAATTTTTGAAAAACGTTCAGTTGGTTCCAACATACTGAACATATTACATTTGACACAGTATCATCGTAGCGAATCTAAAATTTTTGATAATCGTTTGCACCACACCATACAGATAAAACTATCAACTTTCGTTTACAAATTACCTCAATTTGGAAATGCTGAGCCACCACTTTTAATACCTCCTTCCGAGCCATTTCACCTGTCTCGGTGTAAATGTTCAAAATATCTTTGGATTCAACTAAGCACAGTCTACAAATCATATTGTTTCCATATATTTTTGCATTTGTTTATTTACCGCTTGCTAGCCCACTAAATTTTTAGTTTATATCTTCCTCTTTTTCCATTGCCCATCCACGATTATATGAAAAACGTAATAGATTAAATCTATTACTGCGCTTATGCGTTGGCCAATTCACGAAATCACACACGTTGTCACAAGCGAAAATGAAGAAAATTGCAGTAAAAAGCCACCACCAAATTGTAAACAACGAAGAAATGTAAATAAACGGCTAATGTCAAAATCGTTCAACTTTTTTCCTTAATGCGATTCTAACGGGCTAGTCTCCTGTCCGCGTGATCTTGTCTTTTTGGTTCATGATTTAGATGAATGTAAAAAGAAGAAGAAGAAGAAGAAGTGTAAAGTGTAAACTGAGTATAATAGCGCAAATGAAATGTGAAATAAAGTAGCAATACCAGCGATTTGTTTACTCTGTTTTATTAACGAAATATATAAAATAAAAGTGAATAAATGATTTGGTTTGCATAAAATAATAACCGGAAACGTTTTAGTAGTGTTTTAAAAGTGGAAACTGTTGATTTAGTGCATTTTTGACGTGGTAATTGCTCATAGAAAACAACGAAATTTAACCAAAGTTTTTTGTTCATAACTTTTAAATGTTTAATAATATTATCTTCCCCCCTCCGGATTGTTATTTTACCTTTTTTAGGGGTTGTTACCCCACCCTAGAAAATTACCATAAATTCGCCTTGATTTGAGTACATTCGAATAACCTGCCAATGTAAAAACCAAACAATCCTTGTCATCAACACCTCCAGAGAAGGGATCCAAGGCATAAAAAAGATAAATAAATAAAACATGATTTGCCGACTGTGCTTGGAGGAATCTTATAATACTTTCGAAATCTTTTCCGAGAATGGAGGGACAGAAACTGCTAAAACCATTGCCAAATACTTTCACATCGAGGTAAGCAAAAATATCGCTAGTTTAGAGTGAAATGTCGCTGTCCAGTTTTTCAAATTTTTCAGGAGAGAATCTAATAACGATTCTAAATAGTTCTTGCTTCTTGTATCAAAACAATTTTTCTAGAAAAGGTGGACTTAGCACCTT